TAGGTGGATGACATTTAAACATTGTTGTCTATTGAGCAGTTAGATTTGCTCCATTAGCTTCTAGTTTTAACATAAAGAATCCAGAAAATAAAAGACACTAGTAATATCCAACCAAGAAAATTATGCACAGATTTCAAGGGGCACAGTGAGAACTGCTTGAACTAAAGCAAGAGAGTAACAGCTATATTGTTCAGAAGTAATTTAATGTGCACCTAATGGAGATGCATGCTGCCTGGATATAAATACTTTAAAAACAAAAGCCAGAAAATAAAAGGGAGTGGGGGAGACCTGAGTGAACTTGAATGTTAAAAAAATAAAGGTAATCAAAGGTAGGAAAGATGCATGTGAGATACTGTGTAAAGCATCTTTACAGATGAACATTGGAATGATGGCAGTACTGAGCAAGGGGATGCTAAAATAAGAAAATCTAAGCTAGAGAATGAAGGGAAACCTGTACATCATATTACAATAAATGAGATAATTGTCAAATACTAAAAGAATAAGATAATAGTGAACGAGAGAAAGATGACTAAAGGATGGGGATGATAATTTAATGAAACACAGGAAGACCAAGCTGGGTCCAACAGATAGCCCCTATCATGTATTATTGAGCATTCATATATATGAAGCATTATATTAGCCTGTCCTAGGGAAACCTGAGTTTTGTGAATTTTACTTTCACAATGATACACTAGCAATCACTACTATCTGTAGGTAGTAGAACATTTGTCATGGTCCTCCTTTATGGTATCTTTCATCGTTTATTTTGACCAGAGTGACTCTTCAACTTCACTACAATATAATGAGACATGCTTTTAAAAAATATATCTAGATGTTGTTCTGTTATAGACCTCATGTTAATTGACTAAAGGCCAAAACTTACATGTACAAGTAATGACAAGTAATGTACTACACAAGCTGTAGCAATTTTCTCCTCCCTTGGAATGCTAAGCTTTTTTATATTTGTTCCAGTCCTCTGGATGTTAGCCAAATATAAAATAGTATTTGGTACAGACAAATATTGTACAAATTTGTCTTTTTGTCCCAAATTTCTGATGTATGAATTTATGTAGCCACTAAATCTTTCTGTACCTTCACTTTCACCTGTGTGAAAGTAACAATCATGCCCCCACATATCTCTAAAATCATTTAGGGTGAATGAGACCTACGAGAGTGATGTAAACCTTTCCAAACACACATATCAATCTGGGCACTGCTGAGTCTGACTCTATAAACCATCTTGCAGAGTGCTAATCCACATAAGTCAATGCTTTTGGTGCCAGGAAACTCTCATCTCCTCCTCTTTTGGATTGTAGCCAAGAGGGGAAGTTCTAGTACATGAAAAGGAAGGGTGTCTTTCTTAGTAAGCCCTATGGTGGTTCTGAAAACTTCTGCCCACCCCTCCCTCTACTCAACCCTCACCAGCATGGAGCTTAGTGCATAATCACAGGCTCAGTTTTGAATTACCATGAGGATAGAATACAGTGTGGTTACAACTGGAGGTCCTCATGCCTGGCTGTGTTCCCAAGCACTCAGCTGCAGCCCTTGAGCCACAGCTTCTGACGAGCTCTAAGAGATTCCCAGAAAACTGCTCAGATGTCTGCATTTGCTGGCAAGCATAGCTCCAGGCATATGGTCAGTGTGAATGGCCTTGGGAATCCTCCAACAGGCTTTAGAACTTGAAAGGGCTAGGTGGTTTGATTATCATTATATCAGCCAGTCACTCAACATTTTTGACTCCCTACAATTTACCAGGCACCGTGCCTTGCACTCTAAGGAATCAAAAGAAGAAAGTCTGAGTTTTAGGCTCCACAGATGAAGATGAGACAGATATGGCAAAGCACCTAGCAAAGTAACTACTATTGCAGTTATGAATGGTACTAATGAAGGTTGAAAATCTAAGGAGAGCATGCACTAGAATAAGCAGGGATGCCTTTCCAGAGAATATGAGACTGGAACTGAATTGCAAAATTTGGATTTATTTGGAGTAAGTGGAAAGAAGTTAAGAATCAATAATATAAACAAAATCTTTTTTTTCCAAAAAAGAAACTAAGTAAGAATAGTAATGTGGTAATGAGGGTGACAAGATTCAATAGAAAAATTGTTTTTCAGTCATCTATTTAACCACACTCAGAGAATATTAGCTGTAAAGTAGCCATTATACTAAATGATGGATATAAAGTGATTAGCAAAATAGACCAACTACTTGCCCTCTTAGAGCTTACCTTTTAGTTGTGAGGTAGTTGACAAATAGTAAGTCAGTAATAGTAAATCAATTACTTATTTGTTAAAATGAAATAAGTAATTCTAAACTGAACGATGTGATGAAGGAAGTATCCTGATGCAGGAGAAATGTGGAGACCTGAATAGGCACTTGGAAATGGCTAAGAAGAGCCACTTAAATTGAAAACTGATGGATGATAAAGGTCCTATCACTGAAAGAGTCAAAAAGAAGCATATTACAGGCAAAAACAACAGGATACACAAAAAGTCCCTAAAAAGGGAAAAGCTTGGCATATTTAATATACTAAAAGGAAGCCAGGGATGTTGATTGCAAAGGGCCTTAGTGATTCCTTTGTAAATATGTTTTTATCACAAGACATGCAAGATTCTTGATATCTCAATATTGGAGTACTCATACAATTGGTACTGAGAGTTCAATGTTTGTTGTCAATGACTTTTCATATTACACCTACTACAGCAGGCCAATAGGAGAAGTGAAGACAATGAATGTGATCTTGGTCATGTGGAATGTGGGAAGTGGTGTGCTTATGTACATCATTTTTTAAAAAGTTTGATGCTTGAGTTATTCATAAGAATTGGTTAGCTTGATGGTGTGAATACTTGTAATACTTTAGCTTAAATTATAATGTACATATTTTGCATATTAAGAGATAACAGTGCTGGTGATCCATTAATTCTTAAGATAATATATTGGACGATTACCATATTGCAGATTGAGTCCCTTATCATGGTTTTCCATTTAGGTGAAAATGGAAGTGATATCAGAGTACAGATAGGGTTAGACTAGAGAACTCTAATTTTGGTGATATTAGCTGTTTTATGCCTTTCTCAAATATCATCTAATACTCTTAATATTAAACTTATTAAACAAAAGTAAACAAGCCACAAGAGAAAAAGACGAATTTCTGTAGCATGCTTTTTAAATTTTTTTTTAATTTGTTCATTTTAGTTATTCATGATAGTAGAATGTGTTTTGACATATCATACATACATGGAACATAACTTCCCATTTTATGGTTGTACATGATGTGGAGTTACACTGATCGTGAATTCATGTATGAACACAGGAAAGCTATGTCCTATTCATTCTACTGTCTTTCCTATTCCTATCACCCCTCCCTTCCCTTTACTTCCCCTTGTCTAATCCTGTGACATCTGAAGCAGTTGACTTTAGTGATTCAAAACTAACTCTTAAATAACTACATGTGTAAAGTGTTTGTGTGTGTATTGTGTGTGTGTGTGTGTGTGTAAAAGTGATTTGAGCATCTGATTCTCGAATGCAAACATATGAAAGAAATTACTAGGATATATTTGTAATACCTAGGGATTTTATGCACAGTTTACTTCCAAAAAGAATTTTTGTAAAATCCAAAAGTGAAAGTAATCCCATTATTAAAACATTAGAAGAATAAATCTAGAACATTAAATATATTGATTAATATTCTACAAATCTCAGTGTATATGTATAGCAAACTACAAAGAGAAGATTTTAAATTTTTCCAATGGATTATTTCCTTTTCATCATTTTGTGTTTTTAACACTAGCAAATTGAGAAATTGGATGATAATAGTTGGATTTTTATTCTATCTTTTATGCAAAACCTTGAAACCTTTCATAAATTAAACTTCTTACTGCCCCTGGGAAAACACAAAATGCAGAGCAATTCCTGTGGCAGCTCTTACCATTTCTGTACAGACCAGACATTTAGTTCTATTTAAAATATTTAAAATAGAAAAAGATGAATCCTTTGGCCATGCTTAGAATGTAAGGATCCTGGTCAAGACTGTAGAACATTAATACTCTGCCAACTTGGACTGCATTCACAGCAATATTGAGGCAGTTTGTGATTCTCTGATTCATATCTGTTGTTAGATTACATCCTTTTAGTAAAAGAGAAGTCCTTTTCATTCATATATGTGTACACATAGAAAAGTGAAGAGTAAACCTGTGTCAAGGTGCTGTAAACTTTGTAGTGCCTTTTAAAGAAACATTTAACACTTTACAGATCTTTTGTATTAGACTATGCTCTGTCTTAACTCTGAACACATCCATTGTATCAAATGGCATCTTCAATGTAAACAGAGGTAAATATGTATAAGGTCCTCCTTGGGAGGTAGAGTTGTTTGAGAGTTCTTCTTCATTTTGCATATGGTATATGGTTCTGTGCCCTATTTCTGCCAATGACATATAGAAAAGTTAGTATTTATTCTCTCTTGATGTTTTACTGGCATCTTTGAAGTGTTATACAACAAGCATTTACTACTGGATAACTAAGCACTTCTACCCTTTGTTTAATTAACGCATTGATCTACACCTTATCTATCGGATCAAGCTTATTGAGACAGACTGCCTATTCTTCCCCCAAGAGATGGTTGCTGGTCTCCTCATGTTTTCAAATAAAAGGCAGACAAACCTGCAACACATGGAGCCCAAATATTTCATAAAGACTTTGGCAATAGCACCTTACAGATATTTCAAAAATAGTTGTGCTTTATCACTTCTTCTGTGCCATCACATATAATGAGTCTTTTTAAAAGACTAAATGCAGCTCTATGATTTTCATTTAATGGAAGAAGTAATAAAGTTTAATTGTATACTTGAACATGGGGTGTCATTTTCAGTACTTCTGATCAATAATTCATTGATTGCTTTTGGCTCAAAGTAAAATTTGAAAGAAAATATAGCCAGTGGGAGCTTATCTCACTGTAGCTTTATCATCTCTATTAATTACGCTCTTCCCAAATTTGGATCATTAGGCTACCAAAGTGACAGCAGATGGTGAGCAAACGGGACAGGATGCTGAGAGGACCAACACAAGAGCAAAGTCCCTTGGAGAATTTGTTGAAAAGCTTGCCCACGATGCAGAAGGTATTAGAGAAACCATGTTGTAATCATTATTTGTCTCAACAGAAAATAGAGAAAGAGATTATAAGATTCTCTTGTAAGGATGCTATTTCTAAATTCAAGGGTTGAGTTTTTCAAAGTGTTTTGTTAAAATATTGAAGAACAGTATCTACTGAGAACCTGTGACCTACAGTGGTAAATGAATGACAATAGCCAATGAATTAATGATGATAAGCACAGAATAGTGGTAAATTCTTGAGGAATGACTATTACAATTAAATTACTCATGGGAAAGCTACATTTTGCTATTTTTGTGTTCAAAACTATTTAAAATATTTTTAATTTTTAAAAAGCCTTATTTGATAATCTATTTGGTACATGAAAGCAGCACTTTAATTTCTCAGAATGGCCTTTCAAATACTTGGTACAAGATTTTTAATGAACATCTGTTGCTTGGGATTTGGATGTGCTACTTCACCAGAAGCTCCCCTGCATTTTGTCCACATTTCCCTAGGAGTTAGTTGTTGGCAACTGCCAGTATGATTGAGAGTTAAAGTGGAAACCATCTTTGGGCAAAAGCTCTGGTGAGACCCAATTGATGAAAACAGATAATGCCCACACCATACTAAAATAAAACTAGCTCTTAAATGTCTACTAATATAAGTATGTATGCACGTTAAGAAAGTTTTTAAAAAGTAGGGTTTTTCTCTCTAAAAATGAAATATTTTTATTGCTCTATAACATTATGCATATTAGATCATTTGCTTTGTAATACAGTTTAATAAATCAGGAAAAGATCTAAACTTCAAGGCAGATTCTATTAGTTATCACATACAGGAAGATTCCCCATGGCAATTAGGAACAGAGTTTTAAACATGTCAGAATCTAAACAGAAGTTACTTCCACTAGAATAATCTCAGTGAACTTATGTGTTTTATCCTCTGTTAGATGAGATTGGTATGCTTTCCCTGGGATTATTTTCTATGAATGATACTTAAAAGTTCCCTTCCCCAAACAGCAACCATTACAACAACAACAATTCCAGGGTAAACATAGCAGTCTCCTTCCATGTGTATCCCTGAAGATGCCAGTTAATGTTCTAAGATCTCTCGTTTCCTTCTGTCTGAAATTTCAAACACCCAGAACCAAGATGCTATGCTCATCCCAGAGACTCATTTTAAAAATTATTTCAATGAAACATTGGTACATCAGAATAAGTGCTAACACATGCACTAATAGACCACAGTGTCATTACTGCTCACTTTCTCTTTTACATTGAGTCCTCCACCTGCCATCACACAGAGACACTTATTTGTGGACTTTTTTCCCACACGGCCAAGGCCATTGTGCATTTTGTGCCCCACACCAGACACCAGTGGAGACAAACTGGAGATGATGTTTAACATGGGTTTTGCAAACTTGAGATGATGTTTAACGTGGGTTTTGTTCAACGACCATATTTTCTGACTTATTACACTGAAAAAAAATGCATCTTTTTCCCCAAATTGTGCATTGGTCAGGTGATCTATCTAGATGAGACATCTTTTTCTAATTCATGTGAAGTGACATGAGATTTTGTACCTGAGGAAAACAGGGCACTGCTCACTTCTGCCAGCAGACACTATTAGGCAGAATTGATGCAGCTGTTAAAATTGAATGAAAGCAAACCAGAATATTCCAGAGGTGTACTAAATTTTTGCTAAGATGTAAATAGGTTAAACAACATACTCAGACTCCCCCCTCCCACCCACCAAAGCTACAATAGGGAAAGTCATGAGAAATTTTGCATTTTATTAGTGGCAATAAATTGCTATGGAAAAAGTGAATGCTTCAGCCTGGCATTTGTCCACTTTGGTTTTATGTTTAGGTAGAGGGAGTGAGCACTCACCTCTCCCCCACTTTAAGTCATGGCCTCATTATAGATGATCAGATTCTCTTCATCCAAGACCTTGTACCCCACTCTAATTTTATAATATCTTCTTTGATATGACTCTCCATTATGTCATGAATATTTTACACTATGCATTATTAGAACGAATGAATGGACATAGGTGAACCCCATTAGTGTTGACGCCCTGACACATAATAGCACCTGAGGTTAGACACCCTTCTAGGCTGTTTCTCAGGTCAGAGTAGCAGTGTTCATTCTTGATTACTTTACCTATCACAGGATTTCTTTCATATTTATGTACAAAAAACATCCTGGAATATCCTGAAGATTTGGCTTATTTTTATTTTAGGGATACTGTATAACTCTGGAGATTTCTCAGCTTAGAACTAGATTTAGGGACCATTGTTTTGAACATGATGACACACCTTTTTGTCTAGTAAGACTTTTCCTGATTCACATTAATCTTCTTCCTTTACTCCTATTTTTTCCTATAGGAGAATTGAGCACCGTGTTTTAAAGACATTTTAATTCCTTTAAATTCTCATATGAAATAAGATGCAAATAAATGAGTAAATTCAAAAGCTATATTTATTTCACAAATATTTTCAATAACTTTGCAAAAGAAAATATATTGCAGTGACAACATATACCTCTGAGTAAGAGATTAAATAACACATTCATCTTTAGTATTAAAATGCTCAGAAAAGTTTTAATCTCACATATATAAGCAGTAGAGCAAGTAAACCTCTTCTATTAAAAGGCTTGCATTCTTAACACAGTATCATTTTGCTAAAGCCATTTTTGTGTACTCTATTAATTTCTTTAGTTCTTTACATAATATTTTAATTAAAAATAAAATGATCTGCATTCCAAAACATGCAGCCATTTTTAACTTTTCCTTTTCTCTCTCTGATGTCATTCTTTTCTGCATAAGTTTAGCTTTGAGCCTAAACCACAAGAGAAACAGTGAAATTATATCCCGTGTTCTCTCTTCTCTAGTATGGCTTGTGCTCAGACCTAAATTAGATCAAATTTCAAAGAAATATTTTTATCATTTATATACTCATTTAATAAAGAAATAAACATGGCTTTCGGAGATTAAGAAGTGGGATTTATCACTGTCAATTTTAAAGAGTGAATATAAATGATGTCTGTAGTTACTTATATGCCACAATTGGTTTAAATCAGCTTTGCCAACAGGCATGTGCTCAGACTAAAGGATGAGGCTGTCCCATAGGTATAGCCAAATCTATGACAGATTCTACTTTCTTGAAATTTTAGAAGAATAAAATATCTCCCATTTAATCATTGGCCCTCTGGTATGCCTCCCATATGGTCTACTGGACCAGAGAGCTTTCAATTAATCAGTCCATGGTCACAGTGGCCCCATAATAGACATGACACAGCCTGGGGGATATCTTACGAGCACGTGATAGAATCTTGGGAAGGTTCTTTGACCTATTTCAGGATGACTATTAGAAATGCTCACCCTAACTAACTTCTAGGAATATAGCACCTGAGCAATGATTTCTTCCACAGGACCAGGGGTTGTTCCTAGGAGTATTCTTTAAAACACATGATTCAAATTTTTCTGCAAATTAATCTATTGCTATCTAAGTATGTTCTGACCATTTGAACAAATATATCACAGACTTGTGGGCTTAAAAGCAAATTAAATATCTTTTTCATCTTTCAGAAAGCTGATACATCCAAAATTAAGGCACTGGTGTAGCTAGTGTCTGGGGAGGAGCCCCTTTCTTATTTGCCAAGGGCAGTTTCTTGTTATACCTCACATGGTGGCAGGGTCAAGGGAGTCCTCTGCAACCATTGTATGAGGTCACAACCCCTTTCCTGCCCTCATGATCCAATCAACTCTCAAAGGTCTTACCTTTATCTACCATCACAACAGAAATGGTTTCAACCTAAGAATTTGAAAAAACAAACTAACAAACAAACACACACAAAAAAAACCATAAACCTTATGTCTATAGCAATGGCTATAGGAATAAGGTGTTGACTGCAGCAATTTTCTTACCAAAGACATTTATATGAAAAGGAAGTTACAAAGGTGCATTTGGAAAAGGATAGATTAGAGATTGAAACTAATTAAAACAAAACAAACAAACAAACAAAGAAACTCCATTTCTTCTACTAACCCAGTACTCCTTGCACTCCAGCATGTGTCAGAAGCTCCTTTAGGACTTGTTAAAAAACACCAGATTACTGGTCCCCTACTCCCAGAATTTCTATTTCAATAGGTCCATGGAAGGCCTGAGAATATGCATGTCTAACAAGTACCAATGTGATGCTGCTGCTGCTCAATGTGGGAACAACATTTCAGATCTACTGTACTAACTAACCCACCATTTCACCACCCATTCTGGCTAGTATACTTTCCTGACTATGTGCATCTGCTCAGGAGCTTTGACCAGTATAAATCAGAAAAAAATCTCTCCAGAAATGAATGCTCATGATTTATTATGTTTAAAGAAGTCTTCAGATACCCTCTTGAAAAAAAAAAATATATATATATATGCCAGCCCAGACCCCCATTCTATGGCTTTTCATATATAATATTGTAGAAATAACTATTCAGCAGACAAAGAGTTCAGAAAATATCTCCCTTCAGCTCACCAAATTCATGTTCAATAGAACACTTTTCAAGCAACTTTAGCCTAAAATTAATGGTTAGAACTCTGTAAAATGTTTCAATTCACCAATTCTTTAAACTTTTATTTGACAAAGAATTCTTTTTCCAAATGAAATTTTGCCCAGAACACCAACTTATAAAACAGATTCTTGGCAGAATAGACATTATTTGTAGAATACCTGAAGTACCTGGAGAATCCTAATATTCCAACAAATACAGCTTGAAGCTCCATTTAATGCATAATAAACATGGACTGCTAGGATGGATGTTACTGCTAGAAGGCATCTTCAAGGTCTAATCTATACCCTTGTCTCAGGACCAGTGCTCCTTCCCTCACTCCTTTATAACAACGAATACAAGAGTACTCGTGGAAACTCAAGGGCAAGTTCATGTTCAGAAACCTCATCACTGATAGTATTTCTATATTCAGTATTTTAAAACAGACTGAATATGACAGTTTTATCAGCAATAGGAAGATCTCTTGTTTTCACTTCCAAGAACTAGTCTGTACATCTCATTTTTTACTTTTTCTTGGAAGAGAATTTGACCCACTGCTTTGTTAGTATTCTTTCCTTCTGAGTTTTGAAACTGTTTTAATTCCTGTGTCCCCTAAAAGAAATCTAATATGAAGAATTATGTCACATATCCCTCTTTGTTGGTGATTGTTACACGACTGCCGCTCTCTTTCCCAGCAGGAACACCTCTGGCAAATTACTTTCCACTTGGAGGTGGTGGTAAGGAGCAGATGTTGGATGCCACTTTTGCTTGTGACACTTTTGTTTACTAATTTGCAAAATTTGTTTTACCCCCCGCAGCTGTAAATGAAAAAGCCATAAAACTAAATGAAACTCTAGGAACTCAAGACAAGGCCCCTGAGAGAAATTTACAAGAGCTTCAGAAAGAGATAGATCAGATGATGAAAGAGCTGAGGAGGAAAAATCTGGATAAACAAAAGGAAGTTGCAGAAGATGAGTTGGTGTGAGTAGATCCTCTATTTCTTCATTTGATAAACTGAGCTTTTAAAATTATTTATAGATTTCTAAATTTCCATCACACATTTAAGCAGAGTATTATTTTTATTATGACCTGGAAATGTTTGCTATTTATTTATTTTTCATTTGGTTACTAAGGTTATACCTTACTTTGCTCTAAAGTGAATTAAAAGCATTTTTTTTCCTATTTTTATAAGCAATCAAATAAATGATTTTTTCCTGGTATTGACCTTTTTATAATTAGGTTAATGGATTTTCTTTATTAATAGCCTATATGAGGGGCTTTTAAACTATCAATATTTTTTTTTAGTAAGAATACTTTTGGATAAATAAAATTGTGTCTTAGCCAGACCATCCAAATACATTATTAGTTCAGGAAATTCAGGTAAGTCAAACCCAAGCAATTCCCAGATCACTCAGTTAAAAGAAAAAGAAATTTAGGTTGAAATCATAACATTACATTGGCATAACAAAAATAGAGTTCTGTTCATAGTTTCTAAGCAAATATGTCAATATTCATCCAGTATATTCCCGTTATAGAGAAAATGTCCCATTTTGGTGACGGGGGTGGGCTTTTTTGTTGCTGTTATGTGAAATAAATCATAGAACTCATTTCATCAGTCATGTTCTGTGAATTACATGAGGACCCCACCAAATGAAAATAATATCTTACTAATGAATTTCGAAGTTGGGATTTTCTTCTTTCTGTTTTAAATTATAAACTATGTGCCACTTTCAGGGGCCAGATTTCAATTGGATTTAGTACAGACTGAATCTGTCTCACATGCTTACGTTTCACGCTTTTTTATATTAGCATCTCTTGGTAACACAGTTTAATACCAATAAGTCCTGAGGCAGTGACATTATTGTCTGTGCTTGGGCTGGTTGGTTACAGAGCTGCAGAAGGCCTTTTGAAGAAAGTAAACAAGCTATTTGGAGAGTCCAGAGGCAAAAATGAACAATTGGAGAAGGATCTCAGGGAGAAACTGGCTGACCACAAGAACAAAGTTGATGATGCTTGGGACCTGCTGAGAGAAGCCACAAATAAAACCAGAGAAGTGAATCGCTTATCTGCTGCCAACCAAAAAATCATGACTGCTTTAGAGGTGAGTGTTAGGCGCTTTCAATAGACTCTCGGGGATGGGGAGTAGGGTGGCACAGTCAAGTTGATACACATTTACGACCATCAAGAATGAGAACTCTGAACAGAGACTACTAAGCAGAACAGAAAATGATCTTTCTCTCTCTCTCTCTCTCTCTCTCTCTCTCTCTCTCTCTCTCTGTGTGTGTGTGTATGTATGTATGTATGTATGTATATATGTGTTGGAGAGAAAAAGAGAGTGAGAGTCCTTAATGACTATTTTCCATTGAATCAATTAAAATTCAGATAACTTAGGCTATGGAATGTTTTTAAAGACAGTATGATACAGTGAAGAAGCTCTTTCCTGGGAGTTAGGGGACTTGGATCTCAATAATGAGTGCCACCAACTGTAAGACTGTACCAGTCAATTTATATCTCTGAGTATCAGATCTCTGACTCTTCCATGAGTGCATTATACTAGAGCATACCTAGAGTATTTTCAAATCCCAATGCCATATGATTTTGCAGTTCACCAACATAACCCACAAATTTGATTCAAAGATCTGGCTGCCAAAAATCAAAGAAGTCTCTACATTTTTCAAAGGAATCTGTGCACATGAGCAATAGCTCACTGAGAAACCAGAGCTGGAGAAAATCCTGGATTCCCCCTTTATTTGCACTGTGTTCCATGCAAATGATACTTTTAAAGGGACTGACAGGAGCAGATCAATTCTGGGTTATTTCCCCACCTTTCTCTCAAAGAGATCTAGAAATTCTAGGCAGCCCCTTTGCAGAGGCTTTCTCAAAATGTGCCTTGTTCTAGAACTAAAACAGATTCTTCCATTGTTTTCTTTTTATTTTTAAAAATTTCTTCTTGGGGCTGGGGATGTGGCTCAAGCAGTAGCGCGCTCGCCTGGCATGCGTGCAGCCCAGGTTCGACCCTCAGCACCACATACAAACAAAGATGTTGTGTCCGCCGAAAAACTAAAAAAATAAATAAAAATATTAAAATTCGCTCTCTCTCTCTCTCTCTCCCTCTCTCTCTCTCTCTATCTCTAAAAAAAAAAATAAAGCTAATAACTAATTTAAAAAAATTTCTTCTTTCTCTTAACATGATTAATCATTTTCCCTACAACTAAATTCAGTACATAGGATGGCACAATCCTGTGTTTGGTAAACTTTCTTCACAGAGACAAACCAACCTTAGCTGATTTTGAAGTATTTGACCCCCATAGATCTGAACAGCAGCAGAACTCCATCTCTACTATCATGGAATTCCATCTTCAAGGATAAAACAACACCCTGACATAGTATATGCTCTCAAAAAATGCTTGTTGAATGTCAGTGATGATTGGATTAACGAGCCTGGATTTTTTAAAAAAAATTCCACTAATGTTCCTTTGTGTTAAGAAGTAAAAGGATGAACTAAATTTTTTAAAAAGCAATTTATGGGTCCCTCCTCTAAGGTGTAGCTTTGTCATTCTTGTAGAAGACTGAGAAGGCTCACTTTTTTATAATTGATGTGTCTAATCTTAACCAATTTGTAGTCTCCTGACAAATTAGCAATATCCAAGAAAAAGCACCATCTGGAGAGGCTGGAGCCCAGGCTGCCGTCCTGTCAGAGGCTCCAGCATGACTCATCCTGCTTGGTGACACACCAGTGGTTCAACTTACCCAGAGGGGCACCTCTCCATTTTATGGCTACAGTTTAAGAAATTAAAATGACCTGTGTGGAGAGCATGATAAGCATTCGAGAAGTATTTCAAGAAGAGTTATAGTGGCACATAAATGGTGCTTTCAGCTCTTCCTCCCTTTTCCTTCCTCCCTTTGCATAGGCTTTTAGTGATGTTTAAAACTAAGAGCCATCATTCTTGGGTACCCCAAGAGACTCCTGTAGCTTATATAGTCAGTACTGAAATTCTATGTCATCCTTTCTGTCTTTTGTTTTATGTGCCACCATTAACTAAAGGCTTGTTTAAATATTTATCAGATAAAATAGATATTTACTAAATTAACATGAATAAAGTACAAATTATTTAAGGTTGCTTGTGTCTACCAAGGGTTTTGCCAAGCTACCTAAAAACATCACCTGGAAAGTCCATACACTACAATTGGGAATCTGGTTAGTCCACTCTTGTGTGTGGCCCAATGTCCATATCCTAAAATTCACTGGGTTTATTTGATGCTCATCCGGCTTGGGAACAGTGGTTGCACTGTACTCATTGGATTGAATAATGAGCTATTTTTAAAATAAACCTCCATTGTGTTAGTGTCTTCAATGAAGATGATATAATTAAAAGCCAACTTGGATGGTTTATATTTATTTTAAAGTGGTAGGCATGCATTTTTTATTATTAAAAACTTTTATTTTTTTTTAAATATTTATTTATTTAGTTAGTTATTGGCAGACACAACATCTTTGTTTGTATGTGGTGCTGAGGATCGAACCCGGGCCGCACGCATGACAGGCGAGCGCGCTACCACTTGAGCCACATCCCTTTTTTTTTTTTTTTTTAAATATAAACATTTTATTTTGTTTTTTAGTTGTAGATGGACACAATACCTTCATTTTATTTATTTTTGTATGGTGTCGGGAATTGAACCCAGTGCCTCACGCATGCTAGGCAAGTGCTCCACCACTGAGCCACAACTTAGGCCAGACTATTAAAAACTTTTATTAATTGAAATTTATTGTTATGTCCATGTACAAATATGCCACAATGAAACCTACTATTATGTATAAATATTATATACCAATAAAAAAACTCTTATCAAGCCCCTTACTATATTCAGGAAATATGCTGACCATAAAATTTATTGTAACAGCTCTCAGTCACCATAATGTGGTCCTCAGAGTAATAGTATTAACATCAGCTAGAAATGGGTCAAATATGTGATTTCTCATGCCACTATTAACTTGTGCTATCAACTCAGAAATTTTGAGGAATGGGGTGGGGGGTCCAGCAACCTGTTTTAAAAAATCCCTCCAGTGAATCAGATGCAGCCTTAAGTTTGAGAACCCAGATATAAAGAATAAACGCCATCTTTGATAACTGTCTAGTGGGAGATACACACAAGCAAACCACTTATACACTAAAGCAGAGATCATGGAGGTGAGCAAAGGGAGCCTCAGATGTCCCCAGGTTCTCAAGGGGCGTCAGAGAGGCTCTGATACTTGTGCCTAAAGGACAAGTGCTACTTAGTTGAAATAAAAAGGGAAAAGCATTACAGAAATAGGAAAAAGCATGAGCCAAGGCATGAAGAAAGAAGGGTTGGACATTTGAGAAAAAATTTGGTGCTTTGATAGAATTGGAATGAAACCTGAATGGGAGTGAATGTGTAGACAACCTCCAAAGATAGGCAGCCACCAGAGCTGGAGGTGCAGGAGATTGCGTTGCAAGACTAAGCCAGAGGGATGGGATTTTTATTCTGAAAACCAAAATATGGAGTCATGGCTTGAAATCACATTGGGGAAATTTGTGAAGCGTTGACATAAACTGGAGAATTGTCTTCGTATTGGAATAGTGTGAGTTTAGCCTAGGAAAGTGAGCTAGGAAATAGTTAAATGTCTGCCCCATTAAGCTGCTGTTGGTAACCAGGGTATTTGAAGTTGAATAGGAATGGCTCCTGGCCTCCTGGAACTTAGAAGCTCCTGAAAAAATTTATACATTTTATTCCCTCACTATGTGTAATATTGTGATTAATACTGACCGAGTCAGCAAAAGAGCTCCAAAAGTTATGGCACCATACAAAAAAAAAAAAATTTGAAAGAAAGGAGAAAACAGCATGCACGCAAGCTTGGAGCTCTGAAAGTGTAAGGTGATCTGAGAAATGTCAAGTGCAGCAGTGCAGCTCATTCATAAGCCACATAACAGTCTGCAACAGAAGATGGGTCTGGAAGTGGCATTTGGAGCCTGAACATAGAAAACTTTGAATGTAGACTACTAGAGGTGACAGGGTTAGAAGGGCATTTCTGGTGATGGAGAGAAAACTGCAGGGGCTGATGGGCAGAAAGAGATGAGATGAGCAGAAGAGTGAAGCAGAGGAATATGTTTTGAACCATCTGTCATAACCTTGCTGAAGAAGAGATTGCAAAGAAAAAAAAGAGTAAGTTGCTACCTAAAAGGTAAGACAGGAAGATAGCATTTGTTGGTTCCTGAAAAATCTACCCCCTACAACAACAGAAGACAGGGGGCTAGTGTTCAACTTGCAAAACTCTGGAAGGAATTAAGATCTAATTAGTATAAGAAGTTAAAAATAAGAATATAATCAACCTTGACATTCAAACAATGATTTAATAATTATGTTCATGGCATACTGAAGGATGATTCTCTCAATACATGGGTATTCCTTTTTGTTCCTTAAATACTCCATTTCTTATCTTAAGTATTTTATATCCTACATCATTCTCTGTCCATTTATTCTTTTTGTTTATTTTTTGGCATTCATTTCTTCATTACTTAAAAGGATACATTAATTCACTCATTCATTTTCTCCTTCCTGTGTTAGTTAGCTTTCTATTGCTGTGACAAAATACCTGAATTAAACAACTTCTGTTTTTCTTGGCTCAAAGTTTCAAAGGTTTCAATCCCTGCTTGGTGGGCTCAGTTGTTTTTAGGTTCTTGATGAGGCAAAACATTATGGCAGAGAGTGTATAATGGAGAAGTTATTCTTCATGGCAACCAAGAAGCAGAAAGAAAGAGAGAGACAGGGACTAGGGTCCCAATATCCCCTACAAAGTCATGCTTGCAGTGATCATACTCCCTTTCTCAGGCTTCACCTCCAATGGTTCCAAAGCCTGCCATTGGCTGGTGAACAAGCCTTCAACACATGGTCTTTGGGAGCATGTAGATTCAAACTGTACCACACCTCCAGATAAGCCACGAAGAACATGTCTTCTTTCTAACTCTATCATCAGAGTCTAAAGCAGCTCCTGGCACTAAAGCAAAACAGACATTTTTTCCCAGTGAATAAAATTTCGTAAAGCAAAGAAAAATAAATGTTGATCTCTATACTTTTATCAATATGTGGGAGCTCCAGATCTCTCTCTTTCTTTGTTTCAAAGCTAGATTTCATCAATGTCTAATTTGAAAATTAACCACATCTAAAATCTCTTTAACCTCTACAGGATTATTTCTGCCTTAGTATGACAAAGAACATATTTTGATCTTCATGGGACAATTGGCTCTTTAAAGTTGCTCAACTAGAGTTTTACAAAAGAAACTCATAATTTACTAAACCTAAAATGGGTATAGCTCTTCATTTAACCCACATGTGGAAATATTCTTCACCCTACATTGGTACAGCACTTAAAATTACCTTGACTCACTAATACAAACAAGCACTGTTGTGACCAAAAAAAGATTCTTGACTTTCTGCCCACAGTAGAACTTTAGATAAGTTAAAAACTGAAGACTATATTGATAGTTATGTAGCAAATGTCAGACTTTCAGAAGAAAAGATAGGTGGAAATCAGGGATGTAAGGAATGCCCCTGCATTTGTTATCTATGAAGAGGGGGTGAAAAATCAAAACTTACCCTGAATTAGCCAGAGATGAGAGTAGTTGAAAAAGCAAATGTCACTGGCAAAGTTTCAAGTCTCATTTTCATTTATTTAACTGAAACCATTTATTGAGGAAGTTCATCTAACTACTAGAGATAGTGATAAATAAGACTTTGTTTATAGGACTTGTAATAGTGAGGGAGGTAGTCACTAAACCAATAAACAAGCATGTGATATGGCCATAGAGTTTTGAAATGTGCGATGATGTGTAGTACATGGGTTTATGGTATATACGATCTGTGATATTGCGTGACACTTCCAATGTGTCATCCTTCATCTGAAACGTGCAGCTCAGGAGGCTGTGCCTTCTCATCAGTCCCAGCATAAGTATCTATGATACATTTCTATCTCTGATGTTCATTAAATAACCTATGCTTTTAGAAACCCCAGAAGAAGTAATCAAGCTAGTTTTTTTCTGCATAAAAACTAAAATAATCATCTGCATTTCTATGCTTTGTGGCCATCCTATTGTATATGATTCAGCTTAGTGAGTTCTAGGAAGAATAATGAAATAAAGTAATTACTACAATGGTTAACAATTACATAGTGTTACTCTGTGCTAAGCAGTGTTTTAAGCCAAGTCTTCCCAGATTTTACTAGGTATGTCAATCACTTGGGGTTCTCGTTAAAATGCAGGTTCTGAGTCAGTAGTTCCCCAGAAGGTATTGAGATTATGCATTTCTAACAAGCTTCCTGGTGATGCCCAGGCTACTAGTAAATGAGTAGCAAAGGACTAAATATTTTACATGAGGCTTAAGATTTCATAGCATTCAGAACTAGAATTCCATTCCAGCAATCTGTCCCTTGAATTCATCTTTTAATCACTGTGCCCTAATCTGTATATAATTATTGCAAGGAAGATGCATGCTATTTTAGATAGGTGGTTGGTAAGTGACCATAAGCAGAAAATGGAGGGAAGAAGCATGCCAGAGAACTTGATAACAGTACACAAGAGAGAGAAGTGCAAAGGCAAAGGCTTAGAGGCAGCTAGATATATGTACTGGGCACCATATTGAAGTGTTGGGAAGACACTAGGAAAAGAGGGTATGAAGTCAGCACTAACCCACTGCAAATAAGAAATGTGATTTCTATAGTAGGAGAGAGAGTTCTTTCATTACCCATGACCCAGGATCTATCTATCATTCAATAGATCAGTATTCAAATTTTTTTACACTATACTAACTGAACTGCATGACCCTTAAGTAAATCACTTAATGTCTTAGTCCACTTGGGATGCTATAACAAAATACCAAAACCCAAGTGGTTTATAAACAAAAGAAATGTATTCCTCATAGTTCTCATATTTATTCCTCATAGTCCATTTTTCTGGATTTCTGGAAATCAAAGATTGAGATGCTGATAGATTAGTGTCTGGAGAGAGCTTACTTTCTAGCTCACAAACAGTCTTTCCACTGTGTTTTCACAGATAGAAGGGTTAACAACCTCCCTTGGGTCTCATCTGTAAGAGCATTTATCCCACCTTTATGTTTTCTGCCTATGACCTAATCTCCTCCCAAAGGCCCAACCTCCTGATTCAAACACCTTGGAGATTAAGATTTTCACTTACAGACTTAGGGGGAACAAAAATATTCAGACAATAGCACCTAACTTGTTCAATTTTCCATTCATTTAAAAGATAAGCACAGGATACAGAGAGTTGAAAATCAATGGGAAAGCCTTGTAAACTGCCTGACACATATTGATATTGCAATACATGTAAAATACTAGTATTATTTATATAAAAACATAAATGGTCACGCTTACAATTTTAATTGATGCAGCTAAACCTAACTGTAAAATGGTGATTGGAAGAAAATGAATGAGTCAGAAGTATTTTTTTAAATGGTAAGCAAAAATATGCTCGAGCTGGAGAAATGGCAGTATTTTTCTCTCATTGATTTTCCTCTTCTAAACCAGGAATGAGTTTCATGTAGTTTTGAGACAAGCTGTAAGTTCCCAAGAAAAGTTAGTTTGTTCTCTTCTTATGAAACAGTCCATTAGGTTTATCCTTCCAGGTGATAGTTTCTCTTCTTGAAAAACATTGCCCCTAAGATCTCTTTTAAAGCTCCCTTCTTTGAATTTTACAGAATTCCCATAGAATAAACCTGCTTATGCTCATGCTTACAAAGAACTCATGTGTACATAGCTCTGGAATTCAGTGTGCCATTCCACTGTGATTTGGTGTACTATCGCATGTTCAGTAGTTCATATTCAGCACTTACAATGTTGTTAAATATGGATGTTTCATCTTGCTTTTAAAATAATTTTAATTCCTCAGCTACTACTATCTCATTTCGTTTCTTCGCTTGGATGCCTTCCTCAAATGGGAAGGAGAAATTACCTATTCAGGCTCTAAATAGAAAGACTTTCAGAGGACTAGCTAGGTAGCTTGTATCATTCTCATCTAGCCACGTTGTCAACAGGATGTACTTTGTTCGTGAAGCTTTTGTTCAGACAACTCAGGAGAGACAGGGATGCAGAGCTGGATAGGGTTTTAACCAAATGGTATTTTGATGTCTTGTTCTTCCCATACTATAGGAAAAGAAGGAGGCTGTTCAAAGTGGCAAACGACAAATTGAGAACACTTTAAAAGAAGGCAATGACATACTTGATGAAGCCAAACGACTTGCAGATGAAATCGGCTCAGTCATAGAAGTGAGTATTTGATAAAATCCAAAGTTAAAAGAGAGATGATTATGGTGCAGCCTCTCAGAAATGGGAAACAAGGAGATGTCTTAGTAATATAAGCAGATACTGACATTTATTTTCTCAAGGAGGGAAAATTATTTTTGTATTGTTCTACTATGATCATACCACCTATTGATAACAATTAGAGCTTTATCTCCTAATAGATATGGATGCTTATGCCATTACACAACCTGTGTTTTTATTTTTTTTTTTCCACAGTGAAATGTGGGCCATTCCTTGTTCCTAGGGCAGCCTTTAAAATTGCTTCAGTATTATATAGCACTAGTTAAAAGAGCAAAGTAAATCTACAAACAGACTTTTAACATGCTGTCTAATGCATTACCCAGTAATATATAGTAATAAAAATGCAAAATGGTTTAAAAGATCTTAATAACTGTCATTTATGCATTTGTTCCAATGAAAAAAAACATTTTTAAAAGGTGTATTCTTCTTGGTGTAAATTGGCTTCATAAAGTTTCTAATATTTTTATTAAATAATAACTTTTTTCCTCTTTTGACTAAGCTAGTACATTTTAAAGTTTCATAAAAAATTAAGTGTGTATAATTATGTCTCTTGGAAAAATTAGTAAATTCAAGGAGGCTTGGATTCACTTGATTAAAATGCCTTCTCTCCACTCTGCATATTAGTATGTTGAAGACATTCAGACTAAATTGCCACCAATGTCTGAGGAACTTAAAGATAAAATAGATGACCTCTCCCAAGAAATAAAGGACAGGAAGCTTGCTGAGAAGGTGTCCCAGGCTGAGAGCCACGCGGCTCAATTGAATGACTCATCTGCTGTACTTGATGGGTATGTCATTTGTTGTTAGAAATGCCAATGTACTGTGACACTTATCCAAAAGTTTTGACAAGCAGAAATGACAGAGAATCATTTTCAAATCTTGATTTCTACAATTATGAACAAAAGAGCTACATGGCCTTTCTATGGAACATCCTAATTAGAAGGGTGTAGGCAAAGCTCTACTGGAAAAGCATCAAAAGTCCAAGTTAAAAGTAGATTCATGCCTGACTTATTAGGAAGTGAGCATGGCCTTAGGCTACACTTAGAATATTATTTTTTGTTCTTTATTAGAAAGCACAGCAGTTGCCTTATTAGCATTTTAAATAATAATAATATATTAACATTTTCTGCTTCAAAATTTAGTTTTATATTCATAATAGAATAAAAAAAAATTGTTAAAAGATGCCTTTTGAAATGTAACCCTATACATAGCCTCTTTCTTGCTCATACAAATTCCAGGAAGATCCTACATACCCTGCAAAACAACAGCTTGCTATCAGGGGGATTGTTGCATGATTCAGGGAGAGAAGGGCAGAAGAAAAGGGTGTTTTTAACTTGCAATCAGCCTTCCAGGTGTAACTAACATTGTACTTCACCAACACTTTAGGATTGACAAAATAAATACAAGAGATATTGGCCCCCCAAATAATTTTCCCAAATAAATCTATATTTAATATACATCATACACAAGGATATGTTTCCATTCTTAGAACTTATTGTTACAAAGGAAAATACTATTGTTTGAAAATGCTGTGCACTGTGATTTTTTAAAAAAAAATAACATTTTTTTTTTTTGCCAATTTATGGTAAAGGGTTGAAGATAGAAAAGTGAGCCAGGAGTCAGCCAACTCAAGTTTTAAGTCCAGATTCCTCATTAGGGATATGTCTGTCATGTGACTTGAAGCAAGCCATTTAAACTTCTGAGATTTTTTTTATTCTCCCCTGGAAATGCACCTACCCCAGAAAGATTTTTTTTTTTTAGAAAATATAACAATATTTTCTTTGATTTTTGTTAGTTATTTCTGTATTTTTTAATTTTTTATTTGTTCTTTTTAGGTATACATGACAGTAGAATGTATTTTGGTATATTATACATACATGGAGTATAATTTATTTTAATTAGGGTCCTATTTTTGTGGTCATACATGATGTAGAGTTACCCTGGTCTTATATTTAAATAAAAGGATAGGAAGGTTATGTCTGATTAATTCTATTGTCCTTCGTATTTCCCTCTCCACTCCCTTTTCTTTGTTCTCACTTTCTTTTAAAATTATAATCTATTTATGTGTTTTTTAAAATGATTTGTTTTACTCAGTTACACATGACAGTACAATGATCTTGACATATCATACAGATGGGATATAATTTCTCATTTTTCTGAGTATACAGGTTGCAGAATCACATTGGCCATGCAGTCACATATATACACACAGTAATAATAATGTCTGTTTCATTCTACTATCCTTCCTATCTCCCCAACCCCTCCCCTCCCACCACTTCTGTCTACTTAATCTAGGGTAAAGCTATTCTTTTTTTTTCTCACATCTTCATACATGTATTTTGTATAACAATGAGGGTCTCCTTCCACCAAACATGCAATTCCCTTTCTCCTTCCCTTTCCCTCCCACCCCTCTTCCCTATGTAGAGGTAATCTTCTTCCCATGCTCTTCCTCTCTTCCCCATTTTGAGTCACCCCACCCCCTTATATCAGAGAAGACATTCAGGATTTGTAGGCTTTTTGAAGTATTCCAGCAATGGGGTGCAAGTTCTCTGAAACCTCTAGTTTGCTTCATAAATAACATGAAGGATTGTCTCACTGCACACGCATGCCTGGTGCACATGGTTGCAGAGGCTTTGGATGATGCTGCAGATGGTTTAAGAATGTTGGAGGTATTTCATAGCTGAATTGTTTAAGAATATGAATTTAAATTGAAAACTACAACACTGTAAGTAGATATGTCACTATGATTCACAATTACTGTCATTATTTTGAAGCCATGATTGTTATAACCAGGATGTTCCTTTATTTGCTTACTCACAACTCTGATGTTATTTTTTTGGGGGGGGGTTATTCCAACAGAATCCTTGATGAGGCTAAAAACATCTCCTTCAATGCCACTGCAGCCTTCAATGCTTACAGCAATATTAAAGACTATATTGATGAAGCTGAGAAAGTTGCCAAAGAAGCCAAAGGTCTTGCACAAGAAGCTACAAGACTGGTAAGAAACAAACAGGACCATTAGCCTTTTTGAATAGTTACTGAATTTTTTTCAAATTTGACTGAGCTCTAAAAACCCTAGTAAATTTGATTCCTGTCTTGAATTATTTTTTTGTAGGCTTCCTTTAAGTTTTCCTCAAAATAAATTCTCCGTGTGCAGAAATCTTTTCTCAGTCACCCACTGCTTATCACTGTTAGGGCCTTGAAATTATCACAAATGCCAAGCAGATTTGTACCACCAGCTCACAAAACAAAAACAAGCTAATAGAACACTCTAGATGGAGAAATCTCTCACCATTATTCCAAATATTTTCACTAAAAAAAGTACCTTGAAAATTAATAGCATTGCTTATAATCACATACAATAGTTGTATGTGAAGTCTGAACATCAAGTGCACTTTTTATAAAGCACATTGGATCAGATCTTTTTAATGTGTTTATAAAATTTTTATAAACTGAAAAGTCTTTAAGCTTTGGCTGCAGCCATTGCTCAAAATACATTTATATCTAATATTTTAGAGTTTTGAGGTTCCAAATTATATCACATTATTTGAGCATCTTCAATATAAACAAATCTTCATCCTTTATATGTAGAACTACATTTTCTAAATAACTTGCATAATAGAACTTGGTGATGATATTTTAAATAAAAAAGACATTACTTAGGAAGCATGCTGTTAGCTAAAATTGTTCAAAACTATCATTCATACAAAATTTCCAAACATCAGAAATTTGCTGGATGGGGGGCTGATTGGATATTTGATTATGAATGAAATATGGTGTTATGAAATAGCCTGGTATTATAAGAAATGGATCAATATTTGATTTTGCATTGAGCAAAAAATATTTTCTCAAATCTCTGAGATATTAGAGATAATTACCAGAATCTTAGAGATGTTATCCTGTGACCATAACGAAAACATGATATTCTATCAACAATTACTAACATTTTTTTCTTTTCTCTGAAATAAGCTGAACTAATTTTACATATCCTATTTGTTTCTTATTCATAATAGTGACACCCGTGTCAACTGATGATTTCTTTTCCTTTGTTCCTTCATTTTTGGAGGGCGAAGAGCTGGGGTTAAACTCATAGGTACTTTGTCACTGAGTTACATCCCTAGCCCTTTAATTTTTATTTTGTGGCAAGATATCACTAAGTTGCTTAGGACCTTGTTAAGTTGCTGAGGCTGACCTCGACATCGTGGTCCTCCTGTGTTAAGCTGCAGAGTTGCTGGAATTACAGACACACACCACCACAACTGTCTCCTTCTTCTTCATCTCCTGGCCACTATTGTTGTCTGAACCTTCCTGTCTCTACCTTTGTCTGGCTCTGTCTTTCTTACACACCTATCCACAGTGTTTCTTAATATCCTCTAGTCCTGAATTACATTTTTCAATTTGTTTCCATGCTTAACGAGATCTTTACTGGTAGCAACTATGAGAAAGTGAGAATTTATACTACCTATGTCAGTTAGAGCCCTGCAGAGAAACATACCTAGTAGGAGATGATGATGGTGATGATAGATAGATAGATAGATAGATGCATAGATAGATAGATAGATAGATAGATAGATAGATAGAGAATTATCTCACATGATTCTGGATGTGGAGAAGCCCCAGATTTGTCCATCTGGAAATCTAGCAAAGCCAGGAGTATAATTCAGTTCTAATTAAAAATCTTCAGAATCAAAGGAGCCAATGGTGTAAATCCCAGTATGAAGGTTAGAGAAGATGAGATGAGATGTTATAGCTCAGTCTATAATGCAAGAAAGAAGGGACTAGATTCCTCCTTCCTCCAGTTTTTGTCCCATTAAAGGTTTCAGTGGCTGGATGGTATACAACCACAGCAGAAAGGGCCATTTGTTTTACTGTCATCCAGAAACACCTTCCAAGACACTCCCAGTACTAGGGTTTGATCTGGACACTCACTGAAATTAACCATAATATTGACCGCAAGCCAAGTGCAGAATTTAATCTTCCTATGTATTCTCCAAATTCATATTTTCTCTCTTGCCATAATAACTCATATTTCTTGGGAGGCATGATTCTAAAAAATTTTTGGCAAGGTATTTCCCAGGCATTTTGAAGAATAATAATATAAAATACAAAAGAAAATGAGGGCAATGTGAAAGTAATATGTGTTGTCTTAGACACAGAAATAGTGAGTATAGTACAGTATAAACAAGATGTAAGCTTTATACAAATTGAATAAGGGAGGGGAAAACCTAGAAAAAAATATTATACAGGAGGAGAATATACCTAAAAATTAAGTAAGCTTAAATTGTTGACACTTGTATCCTCATAAATGTCTGAACTGGTCTTGTAGGTAACTTTTGGGGTTCATTTTCTAATATGAGTAAAAATCCATAGAAACCACAAAAGGAGTTTTTATGTTTGTTTGTTTTTTGCTTCAGGATCAAGTGTCTAAAGAATAAAGTGGATTTTTGAAAATTTACTCTTATGTGGCAGATCAGTGAGGGCAAAACTACTGATAGGAAGCACTTAACTACTACAAAATACACTTTATTCACTACACTGCCACAAAACACATTTCATTCACTGAAATACTACAAAATATACTTCAAAAGAAATGTCAACAAAATCAAAGAACATGGGGATTAAAGAGAAAAACATGAACCAAAAATAGTACATGTGCAAAAGTTTAGGTCAGAATTGTTAAGATCATGGTGATGATAATAATACATATAATTAAAAGTGAAAAAATAAATTCAAGAGACTAATTACATGGAAAATGAGGCATGTGGTCAGTTAAAAGTTTTTAAGGTCCTTCAGTTTGAGGAAGGAGAGTAAAAGCTGATTACCTTTCATATATATCAAATTATGTGTGTTATATATTGAGGATTGATATAAGAGAATGAAAATAATAGCATTAAAGTTCTCTAAGGAAACAGAACTGATGTACACAGCCACGCATCATTTAGCATTCTAGAAAGTGTGGTATTAGGTGATTTCCTTGTTTTGCAAACAACATGAAGTACACTAACCTGGTTAAAGATAGCTATGACATCACCTGCTGATGTAACCTTAAGGGACCACCATTGTAATGCAAGTCATCCTTGACCAAAGCATCACTGTGTGGCACATGACTATATATATATATATATATATATATATATATATATATATATATTAAAAAGCATTGGCTCACGTAATTATAGTACGTAACAAGTCTCCTTAGGCCAGGCTAATAGGCTAGAGACCTAGAAAAGAGTTAATGTTATAATCTTGAGTCCAAAGGCAGTCTGCATGTAGAATTTATTCTTCCTCAGGGTTCTCAGTGTTTTCTCTTACGATTACCCACACTATGGAGAGTAAACTGCTTTACTCAAAATCTACTGATGTAAGTGTTGAACTCCTTTTGTCCCATTATCCCAGATACAGAGCATCTGGAAAAACTTATATGATATATAATAAAATTATATAACATGAGCTTATATAATAATAAAGGAATGTATTACAATACAATATATATAATATACATAAGCTCTAGATTATGATTCCCAACCTATTTTAATGCACCTGTGTCAATTTTATTGAAATATTTGCAGAAGTGAAAACTTGGGACTTCATGAGTTAATCAAATCTGAAAAATCCATTCCTAGCAGCATCTATATTAGTAATGTTTGACCACAAACTGGGTACTGTAGTCTAGCCAAGCTGACACGTATAATTAACTATCACAAATAGCTACACATTTCATATAAGCAGAAAGAAAAACAATGTCTGAAGAGAAGGAACATTATCAATCAATTCCATGAAAAGTGAAAAATAGAAAAACAAACAGATCATGGTAAATATAAAATACAATAGAACTATCCAAATATAGAAGTCAGAATAATTATCATTAGTTACCACAAGAAATAACCCCTGAAATTTCAGAGGCTGGACACAATATAAGTTTGAGTCTCACATCACAACCCAAAGTGTGTCCTACAACTCTTGTCCCTCTTGTAGTCAACTACACCACACTGTGTAGCCTACAAGATTGTCCTGGCAGAGAAAGGGAAAGAAGAAAGAGACGTGCTAGCTCTCAGCATGTTGGCTTGTGTGGCTTGGCCTAGTCCATTGACCAAAATAAGCCACATGCCCCAAAATAACTGCAAAGGAGACTGGGAGCACTAGAAGGCATATTTGATGAGCGCCAACTGTCTCTGCTTCTGTTTGTCTTCATAATAAAATGCAAACAGACTAAAATTACCAATTGGGTCACCACAATTTTTATATTGGATTATAAAAGATTTGACAAAGGTGGTCAAAACTCTGCTGAGCCATGAAGGTACAGAAGGGTGGGAAATGAAGGGATGAGAAAAAATACATCAGGGAAACTAATAAGAAAGCTGGTACACCTCTATAAATAACAGTCAAATAGGCTTTATATCTTTAAAAAGGAGTTATTAGGGATAAAGAGAGTCATCATGATATAAGACAAAGAACTAGATATCAGGAAGATTTTAAATTTGTAAAACTAAAAGGTCATAACAACAAAGCATAATAATAAACAAAATAAACACATCAGAATGAGAAAATTGATGTGTCTCTAGTGAGAGATTTTCCTATATCTCTTATAAATTGAGAGGTAAAGAAAAGACATAAAAAGATATAGATCCGAAGAATACCACAAACCAGATGATTTAATGTCCTTGCAGAATTCTGTAACAATTAGATAACTAATTCTACATGCCCCAGTAGATACACTTCTCCTAAAACTTTAAAAACAAAACAATGCCAAAGGACCATGAACTGGAACACAAAGGATCAGCATATGCTAATGATCCAGTGGCACCTAGACTGTGATCACAGTGCAATAGAATTAGAAAATGATGTAAAATTATGGCCAAAAATTAGTTTTAAAATAAAAACACACTTAAAATTAATTCAGGAGTCAATGAATGAAAAATAATTTTAAATTACAGAATATTTAATAACAGAATGTAAGTATAATTCTACAAATGTATGGGTTGCAAATAAAGTGGTACC